GAGATATATATTCAACATCTCCCAAGACAATGTGAGACAGAAAAAATGGCTGATGTAAATATTGGTGGGAAATTTCACTAGGTGGATATGGCTAATGAAGATCCTTTCCAGTTCTGATCTAATAAAGTCATGGTCAGTTGGAGAACTTGGATGAGGTACAAAATCAGGTAAAGGAAGCCTACTGTGTTACTGGAAGGCGGAAAAGAGGTCTGGGGGACATTTACATCAGCACTACCTGTGTTGCCCAGGCTAATGTCTCCAGAATGACAGCCACCAAAAATGATGATGGGGGCTATTTGAAGACTTTCGAAGGTCTAGAGGAGTTGTACAAGAGCACTCTGTCATAACATTAAGACTCTGTTCATCTCATACTACTCAGAAGTCCTGAATCAAAACTGTATATTTAGGGCCAGGGATTTAACTCAGTGTCTTGCAAGCACAAGATCCTGAGTTCGATCCCTGGTACCAAAAAAAACTGTATATTTAAATGGAAATGATTATTATTTCTGAACAAAATTCTCAAGGGAAAATTCAAATTAGAAAGCTCCTTGCAGCAAAGGAAATTAGGAAACATAAGACGAGTATAATTTGATCTTAGGAAATTTCCCCAGCAACTCAGTAAATTATTATTTATTTAGTTCTCAATTACTTTTGCAAATGCCAGACTTTGTAGTCTTTGTCTCTTTTAACTTACATGATCCTATTATCCTCATTTTATAAAAGAAAAAAGACAGGAACAAAATTCAAGATTGCATTTTTTTAAAATTACAAAATTAGAATGGAATGCCCTTGTCCCAGAGTAATCCCTGGAATTTTATGTTTGAAAGTTATCTTTTTCTTTCCTTTTTTACTGAGGTCAGAGAATTTAACAAAGGATAAGAAGAACCAAGGAAGAGCATCACAGGAAGGCATGGAAGTGAAGGGTGGAGACCCTTGTTTCCCCTGGGTGTCCTGGAAGCTCGAAGATGCTGAAATAGCATGGAATCCACCATTGTCCATGTTGTTTTCTCTCACCTTGATCAGGGTGAAAGTGAGGCTTCTTGCAAAGGGTGAAATCTCCTAGTCCTTTTCTGAGTCACTTTTCCAATTGGACCTCTTTTATCCCTATGTTGGACCCTGAAAATGGCTGTCTACTCCCAACAAGAGAGATGACCACAAATGGAGAGCCTCTTAAATGTGCCCCTGAGAGCAGAGATGAATGGAGAGGCCAATTAGAGGAAGAAAAAGCAGGTTTTCCCTGATGATTGTTGTCTTAGGCTGCTAGGTCCCTAATGCACCCTTACCCACCTCTCCATGGTCTTACCATGATTGCAGAACTGTAGCTTTTCTTTACCAGCCTTCAGGGCATTTGAACTCCAAAGCACTTAGGGATCTTCTAGTCCACAACTCTGAATTTTCAGGTGGAAAGGTGAGGCCCGTGATCTGAAGGGGAATTTGCCCAAGAAAGCACAGCTAGCTGGTAATGTAGGGGTTATCACTTCCCTCCTCACAAAGCCACCATCATTACAGGTACATGGATACATTTCTCAAACGCTTAATCTGAATTAATCACCACGGGAGTCCTGTAAGGCACACAGGGTATCACTCCCTATGTGTCAGTGAGCAGGAAATCGAGGCACTATGGAGTATAAGAAGATGAAATGGTGACAGAGGCTCAACTGTGAATCACAACTATGAATGTTGACATCAGACTATTTGCACTGAATTCTGACTTTGGCACTTGGCAGTTGTGTGACCTTGAGCTAATTAACCTCTCCAGCAGCTATGTCACAGAGTTCCTCCTCAGTGAGAATTAAATTGAATAATGATTTAGATATGCTAGATCATAGTACAGAGCTACAATAATCAAAACAATACTGTCTCTGGCTTCCTGACTCCACCCCTCACTTCTTTGGTCCTCTACTCTTTGTAGCCCTGATGAAAGAACTCAGTCAAAACACATAGGCAGCTGTGTAGATTTATTGTAAAATAAATAAAAAAAGAATTACACCTTCCACTGAGAAAGTGGGCAGCGCCACCAAGAGGTCTGCACCAGGTAAAAGTTTAAGTACAAACAAGTTACTTCTGCTTGGGATCAGGGAACTAGGATAATTGTGATTCTTATCAATACTTTATTTAGAAGTCACTTGGAACTACAAAACGTCTTCCTGTCCCTTTCAGATGGTCAGTGTTTCCCCAAAGGCTTTCATCACATGAGAACTTATGAAAAAAGGTTGGAGAAAGATAAGTTCTTAACTTAAACCAAGTCCCAGCCCAAGGCAGGGAGGTCTTCAGGGAACATTTCTTTTACTGCTAGCACTGGGCTGAGCTATGACAACCAGGAGCGCTATGTGACTTGTCCTGGAGTGAGACAGCCAGGCACCTGGAGTCAGAAGTCATAACCTTAAATGACATTGTTCTCTCTGGGGCTGCTTTGAGTTTGAGACCTCACAAATGGTCATAAATGCATTGTGCACTGACGTGTTTTCTTTAGTTAACTGGCAATGCGTGCTGTTTCAGATCCAACCCCACTTTGTTCCTCAGGCCTGCTGATGTCTAACTAACATAAAAGCACTCATAAGCAGGGGAACAAGACAGTGTCCAGAGTCAACTCGGAACTTAAGTAGTCATCAAGTTTTCAATAAGTGCACAGAAGACATAGTGGGGAAAGAATATTCTCTTTAACAGATGGTACCATGAAAAGTATATTTACACACACCAAAAAGTTCTTATACAGTAGGCCCTTATCTTACAGTACACACATGAGTCAACACAACATGGAAAAAGTCTAGCTTGAACAAAAGACTCCAAACAAAAGACTTGAACAAAAATCTCCAAGAACATACACAGAAAAAACTCCTCAACCTTGGCCCTAACAGTGATTTGGATCATACCAAAAGCTCAGGATACAAAAACAAGAAAAAAGAAATGAGACTATATCAAAATAAAAAGGAAATATTTAACAAAAAAAACTACTGACTTGGAAAAATATTTGCAAACCACATTTCTGATATTGGGTTAACAAGAACCTATACAGCTGAAAAGCAAAATAGAATGCAACAGGCAGGGACCTGAATCACATTTGTTCAAACATCATTTAAAGTAGCCAAAGGGTGTACGAAAAGACGTTCATCGTCATTTATCATCGTGAAAGTACAAGTCAAAACCACTATGATGTATCACCGCAACTCTTTTAGGTAAGCTATGATTTAAAACACACACACACACGATAGATGCTGCCAAGTGTGTAGGGAAAAAGGAAACATCAGGTGTCGTTGATGAGAAAGTTACAGGAAGCATTATGGAGTTTCCTCCAACAATTGAATCAGAAAGAGCATACGGTCCAATCCCCTCCTCAGAGTGTATGCCCAAAGAACGTGAAAACACAGCCTTGTCATCTGCATGCACACTGCAGCGTTAGTCATGGTAGCTGAGGTATGGTGATTAATGTTCTCAATCCCACTCTGCAAAATGTTGTAAAATGCAGGCGACATTTCTTGGGTAGCCAGCATTTCTGAATAAAGTGCATAGAAGTGATTTCTTTGACCCCAAGAGTAAAGGCAGAAAGCCATCAGTTGTGGCAGCATTTCTGAACTTTCACTAAAAATACCTATGTAAGGTTCTTCCTACAAATGTCAGTTTCGAGGGAAGGTGTTTTGGGTGAAAGGAACTCATGTACTCTTCCATTTATCAGGATTACGTGGATATTCCAGACCAGGTCCCATTCTTGGTTTAATCTGCTTAAACCAACCTTACCTCTAGCAAGAAAGGGCAATGAGCTAGTTAAATGCTCTGTTACTGATGGTGAGGACTTATAAGTTCCTTCTGACAGTGGTTATGACAATCTAACTCTTTAATGTCTTCATGAGATAGTCTGGAGGAATAGCACTGAAAGGTGCAGTGGAATCTGAACACAGTGGCTGACCGACAGTTGAGACGTCTTGGTCAATAAGATGGGCTTATATTTTATAGGCCATACTGTCTGAGGTTTGCAGTGGATTGTTGCCTACCCTGGCAGGATCATAGAAGGCCTTGGTATTCCCCAATGTTCTACCTGTAAAATGGAGATAATTTCACAACTCCCAATCATATATGGAAAAGGAATAATAAAATCTATGTGATAAAACAACATGAAGAGTTAAGTATCATATAAATTCTCCACTACATATATATATATTAGATTCAGCCTAAAAACATTGGTCTGAAGAAAGAGCTCTAGACTTTGTAAAAAATTATCTTGGCAGACCCTGAGTGTCCTTGGCCCCATGGGTCTGACGATCCGCCACTCGCTGGTCAGAGTCAAGACCCCGAGCTCCTCCCCGTGCTCAGCCTCTGGAATCAGGCCCTGCTCCCCAGACACAGACATCATTCTGAGGTCTGCCTGGCCTCTGAGAAGCCACCAGGGAGCTTGCTCCCACCCGTCTGAGCCCAGAAATTGCACACTTTTGCTTCTTTCTTTCCAGACAAACGGAAACTACCCAATCCTTCACCTCCAAAGTGTTCCCTTCCTCCAATGATTGCTTTTCTCCCATTTCTTTCTCACAATTCACTTTGTTGTATGGGCTCAGTGTGTGAAGCAGAAAGAAAAGTTTAGTTAGGAAGAAATCCAGAGGAAGACTGTCCATCCCCACTATGACTCTCTCCTATCCTGTCCTTCCTGTCCTTCTGTTCCTCCTCCTTATTCTCCTCCTCCTTTTTCTTTCTCCCTCTGTCCTTCTGACTCTTACACACACACACACACACACACACACACACACACACCCCTGTGCTAAGACTAAAGTTATCAGACTCCTTTTAAACTTATTTTTAATGTTCACATATTTGTGTTATGCATTATATTTTACTTATTACACCTTAAATATGTATCCTTAACAATTACAAGAAAGAAAACCAGTGAAGAAAAGAATAGGCCTCATGGCGGCATAGGCGCCTCTATATTTCTCTAAGTCAACCATCTCTCAAAACATAATCTGTTTTCAAAAACATAATCACATTGAGAGTTTTGTCCGCCTGGGTTCTTGTCACAGAAACTGGCCTTTTAGAGCTGTGTTCAAAGCCAGTGACACTGCCAGAGACACATCTCGCACAGGCAGCTGAGCAACGACTGCAGGGAGCAAAGGGGCCAGATTCGCACTGCTCTCTACCTGGCTATGCTTGCAACCTACAAATGGTCTCTTCAGTATTCTCAGATCTGCCTTCCTTCCAGGGGTAACGATACCAGCCTGGACCAAGGAAAGAGCCAAACCAATGAAAATAGCTGACAGAAAGACAATCAGCTGGCTGATGTAAGGGTGGGAGCAAGACAAAATAATAATCTGCGGTATATCACAGAAGAAATATTGAATGGTATTCAGCCGACAATAGTAGAGATGAAAGCAAGGCACTGTTTGAGCTAAGCTGCTAAGGAAACCAGTCCCAGAGACCCCAGCGACCATCTTCTGACAGAGGCGTGGCGCCACGATGGCTGAGTACTGCAGGGGCCTCCCAATGGCCACGTATCTGTCATAGGCCATGGCAGCCGAGAGGCAGCCCTCGGACATGCCCATCCAGGCCAGGACGAAGTACTGAGTGGCACACACAAGGAGGGAGATCGTTTTCTCACCTCTGAAGAAATCTGAAAGCATCCTGGGGCTGAGAGAAGAAGAATAGCAGATGTCTATGGATGACAGGAAGCTAAGGAAAAAGTACATAGGTGTACGCAGGTGGTCGCCCGTCCTGATGAGGATGATGAGGCCCAGGTTCCAGGCCAGAGTGACAAGGTAGACCCCCAGGAAGACAGGGAAGAGGGTGAGCTGCAGCTCCCTCCAGTCTGAGAGTCCCGGCAGGACGAACGTGGCCACAGAAGTGCGGCTTTTATTCCCATCCGTAAGTCAGCTGCCGAGAAATAGGTGAGAAGTAGATGGTGTTGCTCATGAAAGCTAAAAAGGAACACAACACATCTTTCTCTGTCATGCATCTGTTTGTATATACAACCCTACACTGGAAATGCTAATTTGTGCCTTCTGGCCACCAGCACTCACTGATCCCCTTTACTTGTTTTTTAATTAAATGTATTGGTACATTTTAGATACACATACCGATCACATTCATCACAGGGAATTTGCACCTGTACCTGACATATCTTGATTCTTCTTTTCTTCCCATTCCCCTCTCCTCCCTTCAACACCTTCTTATTTACAAAAGCTTTGTTTCCATTTTTTCCTTCTTTTCTCTTTTTTTTCTTTCCCTTTCCTTTCCCCTTTGAAAATGTTTCCTGAAGATATATTTTCACTCTGCCCTTGGTAACAAAAGATGCTCATCAGGCATCATTTCTATGACCTCTCTTAAATCTTGTCTTAATCTCATATTTTCCTGTGTCAGGGTGAGCAAATCAATGATGCTCTGGTGACCGGACAAATCAGAGAGCTACTGTCTCCTCTCTGTGAGGTGAAACAGGGCAGTTCTGCTCAGGCGCGGCTCTGTGACTCACTCAGTCCTTGAAGAAGGCTGAGTCACTCTGGGCTTCACATGTGGAATGCGGATGCTGGAGTAAATGCTTTTTAAATCTCTGGAGAGCTAACACCGAGTCAGCCTGTAGCTGTGGAGATTTTTCAGGTCCGTAAGCTGCCTTCGTACAGCCTGGAAAATAGGAGACTAATGCGCTGAGACAATGGGGAGACCCCTCCCTCGGAGCAGCTTCAAGATGGATGTGACAGACACCAGCAAAGCTCCTGAGAAGTCAGCTGAGACAAGACGGAGAGAACTTTCCGTCTGTGTGCACAGTTCTCTCTGCTCAATCGACATAACTATGAATTAATTGTCCAGGATAATAACTCATGATCATCTTTGGGTCAGTGAGACTTTTCAAAAATATTCTAGAATCTGTGGACCTTCCACCGAGCACACTGCACCACTTAGCACCTTGGTATCCAGTTTTGTTGTAGTCTTGGTCACCTGACAATTGTCAGTCATTCCCAGGTTAACAGTTATTCAACAAAGGAGCTTGGCGCGAACTAATGTGAGAGTTAGAACCTCGGGCAATGACTTGGGGATGGGAAACGAGCACAAGAGGAGACCCTTTTCCCTTTTTCACTTTGAAGGTAGTCTGGGAAAGGCGAACCGCTCAGTCTTCCACCCAGATGGTAACCAACCAAAAGAACATGTTTGCAGGCCCCTGTGCCCCTCTTCCAGGTGCCATTGCAACTGTGCTCTCTGGATAGTTAATAGGAACTCCCAAGCCATACATATTTTCACTCAGATGAGCTCAAGCTACATAGAAAATCAAGGGAGGCTTTGAAAGACAGAAAATATCTATCAAATATGGTTTGAAAGAGTTTAAGTGTAGAAATATCTATCACTCTTGGACACCTCCTTCGAGAAAGGCTATTATGTCCACATAATAAATTATATCTATCAACAAATGTGTCATAATTAGCCATCTAAACTCTTCTTCTTCTTCTCCTTATACCTTTTCCAGTCTCCTAGTTCTAAATATGAAGAAAAAGAGAAAATACCCCTAAAATCATAAATGTATTCTCAGAGAAGTAAGATGAAGGCATCCTCTTCCCAAAATCACATCCATCACTACTACCCTGAAGGGTCCAGTTGTGTCACTAAGATTGTGGCATTTTGGGAGTTCCTGTTTCAGTGTGCTAGGATTGTCCCTTACTCCAACCCGTACATAATCTGATACTGCCATCCCTCACACACATTCCTGTCAACATCCAGGCCTTAGGCCATAGGGTTCACCAGACCCCTCCTGGAAAAATGCAGCCCACTCCACAGCCCACTCAAGTTTTTGCTTTCTTGCCAGATCTCTAATTGAGGAATTTATTTGCTTTCTCATTAGTTTTTCTATGAAAAGAAATGTGTTTTAAATTTTATCTAATGTCCCTTATAGTTTCTTGGAAGGTATAACCTACCATTTTCCTGAAAAATATCTACAAAAATGGTTTCATTAAAGTCTGGGTTCTTCTAGTTTATCGTCAACCAATTTTTCTAAAATACCCAGGCTCTTTGATTTGATACTGTGCCTTAAAAGCAAGGCACAGTATCAGATGGCTAACATTTAAATACACACTCTATTCCAGGTGATATTCTGAATCTTTTATGTTTTAATTTGTCCAATAGCCCTATATACTTCTGTTTTCTCATTTCGTAGATAAGGAGACTCTGATCAGAGAAGTAAAAAAATCTCAAGATTACACAATTCATGAAGAACATGCCTCCCTTCTTCAGGTCAAAGCCAGGGACTCCAGCTCCAGAGCCAACTTCTAAAAGACCTTACTTTGTTGCCTCATAAAATGAGTTAATTGTTACGTTGATCTTACTTTCAACAACTATCACAAGCAAAGCACTCCTCTAGGTAGTTGGCATAAGGCGAAACCTCTGGTGAGAACTTCGTATCCCAGTAAGATGAAAAATGTGTGTGGAGTCATACGATAAACAAGGATTGATGTGAACCATAAGAATGACGGAGACAAAATTCTGCAGGTGACCAGCAGCTGAGGTCAGCAGGAAGTTAGAGACTAGAGAAGACTCATGGATTCTCTGCGGCAGAATTTCTCACAAAAGGTCTTGCAAATGGCTGCACCTATTTCAGAAAAAATGGTACAAATAGGGCCATGACAACGTAAGTGGACATGCCCAAAATATGACCACATGTCTCTTTATATGGATGTTCCTTCAGGAAGAGAAGAGAAGAGAGGCTGGCTCACCCAGGAAGTGACACTAAGTTAAGCTCATTCATCCTTTTTGAAGAAAAAGATGTGGGAAGGTATACAACATTTTGCAAAACCTGAGGGTATACCTGAGGAAGACGGACATCTTGGCATTCAGACGGCCACCGCCATAAAATTTGTGCCACCAGACACCCAAGAGAGAAAATCACCACCGCAAATTCTACACAGAGACCTGTGTTATCCCCGGATGCTGCTGTTAACCTCAGGGACATCTTTTAATTGCCCCTGTGCTTCTCCCAGTCACTCTAGGTTTTATCATTTCCAATTAAACCTTGTTTTTAGTCCTCTCTCCCTTTATGAAGGATGCCCAAGCTTTCTTCTTTTGTTTCAGATAAGGCTTCTCTTGGGATAAAGTTGATCTTGGTTCTCTCTCCTCCACTCTCCTCATACCATCCTTGGTGTAATGAACTCTTCCCCCCACCAAACCTGACCACTATGTGACCTTGATGCACAAGGGAGAGAAGACCTAGAATGATGACGTGACAAAGTGTCCCCTCTGAAATGCTCCTTTGTCATCGGTATTCCTGATATTTACTTGGTTAACACTGGACAAGCCCAACATGTTTAAACCAAAGCTGGGTAAGAGACAAACTCCACAGGACTTTGTCTTTCAGGAGCAATGCAGACAGGATTGGTCTTAGAAGACGGTGCTACATATATTTTTCTACTCCTTTCCTTTTGTTTTCTTTTCCTGACACTCTCAGCATTTTAATCATTTAGAAGTCCCTCACAGTGGGCTGTGGTAACCTTGTAGTCCAAGCACTCTGCAGGCAGCAGCGGGAGGGTCACTTGAGCCTGGGAGATCTAGACCAGCCTGGGAAAAATAGCGAGGCACCCATCTTGGAAATAAAGAAAGCCTCTCTCTCCCTGTTGTCTATGCAAATTGACACATAACACATAAAACTACGTGCATCAATGGGTACAGTGCGCTAGCTCGGTACACCGTGCATCGTATAATGCTTAAATCAGGTCAAAAGGGTTTGGCTCCTCGCACACTTGTCATTATTTCAAGATGAAAAGTTTCTTCTAGCTGTCTGAAATATACTGCGCTTTGTGTCGGCACTGTGTTTACCCTACTGTGCCTAAACAACCTTGCGCAAAAAGAACAAAGCAATGAACGGGCTTTATACTCCCCAACCCCAAAACACACTGCACCTCCTTCATCGCCCAACACGTTCACCTCGGCTGCACTGGGCCCACCTAGCTGAGGTGTCACAACCCCCCAAGTGGTCTATGAGCAGCTCCAATTCAACTTTTGAAAAGGAACGAACCAGGTAGGAGAAGCTCCTCCTAAAAAACCCCACCATCTCCCTCCTTGGTCTATGTTCTCTCACTTTAGACATCAATTCCATTAACCCGAGGTTCCCAGCCTCCCACCCCACCTCAGCCCGCTCAAGTGTTCGGACACCACCTGCATATACAGCTCGCGCTTCCACGGACTGCTCTTCAGACCAAACGAGCAGCCTCAAAAGATGTCCCGGATGAACCTTCAAGAAAGAGACTGGGCCACTTGCAGACCTGTGAAGTTCTGCCTGCCCCGAAGCCGTCCACGGTGGAACCCACCTGAGTTCTGGGGAAGATCTCTCCCGCGACACAGCTCCGGCTGCCTTCCAGGGGCGCCCTCTTCCTCGGGGTTCTGAGTTGAACAACTCAACGCCGGGTTGCTGTAGCAATGTTTGACTAGCTCGGCTTCCCTCAGAGGCAGGCGGCTGTGGGGGCAGAGGGCCTGAAATGCTCACCAGCTCTCTCCGTCACCTCTAAGAAGGCAGGTGAGAGAGTGACTGTCAGCGAAGAAGGAACAGTTAACCCTGCGAGCTGTAAATGACCTCTCTCGGGAAACAGAGCAGAGACCGACTCCAGGAACTGGCAGCTTGCTCAGGCCCCGAGGTCTCCCTGGAGGGCCTCAGTCTTTGGGGGATTCTGGGTCAAGGATCCTTTCCTTCGTCTGGAAGGAGCCATGGCTGAGCAGGGTCGCTTCTCCCTCCCTGCCATCACCACATGAGCAGAGTCAGCTGGGCACAGGGACGGCTGTGACAGACTTCGTCCCCTGAGCACCAGGGCATTCACGGCTCTGGGCAGACTTCCCAGAGGTGAACTCTCACTCTCCACTTACTGGGGGCCAGCTGTCTTCTTTTGTTCTCTTTAGGTTT